TCGAACCTCACGATGAAGATTTGAGAGTGCTGGAGTCAATTGGATAAAGGAAGATGTGAATGGAACCAAATTTAGTCAAAAGATAATCACAAATCAATTTCTAACCGAAAAGTTATGCTCCGATGTTTTAATCTCATATTGAGACCTATTTTTGGCATATAAAGTGATCTAATTGGAAAATGATGTCTGAATCAAAGTTGTAGCCAGATGAGTTAGCTTTCCAACGCATTTTGAATCGCCTCAATCGGACATCGGAATACAAAGTTATGATAAAAACGCTGAAAAAAGGTGCAGCTACATGTTTAAAACAAGAAATTCCGTTACATAATCCGTTAAAATAACAAATTCCGTTAGTTTTTCCGTTAAAAACAAGAAATTCCGTTACATAGCCACTTTTAATATATAGAAGATATACACACACATAGCTAATGCACGAGTTAGATTTATTTATTCCAATGCTTTATTATTATTATTATTATTATACAATTATATTCATATGTTTGTATTTGCCGTGTGAGGTCGATTAGCAACAACTTGCTTGGTCCTAGCATCCATTATTTAGTCATTTAAAAAATAAATTTCCTCAAATTTCTTGACTTCAAACATGGTCACGAAATAAACCATATATTTATAAAGAATCATAGCTTGGTACATTTTCCCCTACTTCCTTCAAACTGCCCAAGAACAATAACTAGTTACTCATGGGTTCTGTAACACAACCTACACTTCCCATAATAGACTTCACTAAGAATGACTTACAACCAGGTTCACGTTCTTGGCTTTCTTTAAGCAAAGATGTCGTCCGTGCACTCGAAGACTATGGTTGTTTCATTGTGATTTTTAGCGAAGTCTCTTCAGAACTACACCAAGCGATTTTTCGTGCAGCCGAAGAACTATTTGATCTACCAACAGAAATAAAAGTTCTAAACACTTCAGATACACCCTCCCATGGCTACGTGGGGCAAGAGCCTGTTATTCCTTTATACGAAGGTTTGGGCATTGAAAATGCGACGACTTCTGAAGGTGTTCAAAGATTCACCAATCTCTTATGGCCCTCTGGAAATGAGCGTTTTCGGTATAATCAATAACCCTTTTGTATTTCATATTTGTTCTTCCAAATTACAAGTCACTTGTGTTTGTTTCTTTTGAAAATAAGATTTAAATGATAACGTGATAGCTGAGATGGTATTTAAAAACTTTATACTCGATCACAATCCATAACGTGTACAATTTCTTTTGGATGATCGACTAGGGAAACTGTTCTAGCATATTCAAAGATTGTGGCCGGATTAGATCAAGTGGTAATGAGGATGGTGGCAGAGAGTTATGGTATAGAAAAGGAGCATGAATCACTTCTTGGATCGATCTCATACCTTCTTCGACTGATAAAATACCGAGGACCCGAAATAAATGGAACGAATTTGGGTATTGTCCCTCACACGGACAAGAGCTTCATGTCCATTCTCCATCAGCATCAAGTGAAGGGCCTGGAGATTAAGACAAAGGATGATGAATGGATGGCTATTGATCCCTATCCTTCTTCATTCGTTGTCATGGCAGGCGATGCTTTTATGGTATACTCACCTAAACTTTTCTGCAATATTTTCTTTTACACTACACAGACATCATATTAAGGCAGACAATGGTCCTCGAATCAAGTTTCACCGCCATAAATCTATAAAGGTTATGAGCATAAATTAATTATTTTTTGTGTTTTGTGATGGTGTAGGCATGGACTAATGGCAGAATAGAACCTGCGTATCATCGAGTGATAATGAACGGGAATGAAGAAAGATATTCACTGGGCCTTTTTTCATTCATAAGGGATTTCACTATACAAGTGGCAGATGAGCTAGTTGATGATGAACACCCACTACAGTTTAAACCATTTGATCACTATAAGTATATTCATTTCTACTATACTGAAGAGGGAAAGAGATCAAAATGTCCCATCAAGGCTTATTGTGGAGTTTAATAATTTCTCCTTTGTGTCATATAAGATGATTTATCTGGGCATCTAAAGTGTGATTTTATTTTCTGTTATATGTGGATGTTCTGTATGTGTGTATGCGTCAATTAAGTATATATATTATAGTTTTAATCAAGTTGAATTAGAACTTTTCTCTATCCACATTCAATCAACTGTGTTCTTCTGAGTGCTTAAATTTTTTCCCCAACATATTAATATTTCAATTTAGAATGTATAAAGAAATTACATGTAAACTTAGGTTGTATAATAAAATACAAAATTTACTGAAAATGTGAATCAGCCTTTGCTATCAATGCCGTAAAATACAAAATTTTGAGCACCAACTTTGCGATTGATAGTAAAAATTGTAGCGTACAAGAAATTTAAACCCTGAAGCATGCCGCAGAATGAGTTTCAGCTCACTGCTTCTGAATTAAGAAGCTTCGTGATAATAGCGCAAACTTCAGTGATTTAAAGCTCAGTATCTATCATGAAACTCTTTTAAGCACGTGTTTGGCCCCTATTAAAATTATAATTTATTTTTGTCTATCTTTTTACTAAGAATTAAGTTAAATAAACATAATCCTTGACATAGAAGTTGACTGACCTCTCACATTACACGTGGATCCCGACCTCAATTAAATAATGCCGACCTCCCCCATGTGTGTGTTGTGTCATCCCCTATGTCAAGTATTGTGTTTGTGTAGCAAAACTCTTTTACTGATAACACATTCTCCAATAAAATAATATTACACGTAAATCAAAAAATAAATTCTTCTTTTTTAACTACACATTTTCCAAAAAATTACTATTCAAAAATGTAAAATTCTCAAATTCTCATTACAATGTAGCCGAAGTTGAGAAATAATTGGGAGACTAATTCAGCTTTTCATCCATTTGACTAACGACAACACTGCTCCTAAGTCCCTCATCTTTATCAAACTTATTTGCCTTCATCTTCCAAAAAATCGTAAGGAATTTAGAGCGCAACTCCATTTTTTTGTTCTTTTTTTTTTTCCCCTTCACTTAGCTTTCCTTGTTCGTTTGGGCTCGTAACTATGTGATCAATCGAAGTTGATGGACAATCTGATGATACTTCATCAAATGATTGTACAAGGAAGACGTAAGGTAACTTCTAGAGAAAAAAAAAAAAAAAGGAAAGCACCCCTTTCAACTACTAAAACTTGGTGTTAATCTGAAAGTAAGAAGTTTGCATAGCCAAGTTTGTGAACTTTGCCCTGCCTAATTGATGAATTGACTAACTATTTGTTATAGGAACATCTTATTGTTGTATTGGAACACCAACTCATTGCGCTTGGAGAAAGTAGAGCATTTCTTTCTTGATCATTCGTCTTAATAAATAGGATGAGGATGCCCAAGAAATTAATAGCAAGCATCCACGGGCATATAACATATAATACCATATTTCTTTCCAAAAAGAAAAATGAAAACACAAACTGCACCGAGATTTCATCACCTTTATGAAGCCATGAAAGCTTGTAAGCATAACAATGATTATAATGATTTCATGTTCAACATGTCCATTTGAGTTGACATGTCAACTGCTCCTATAAATTATCACATCCCATACCTTTCGACGAGAAGTTCCTTTAAATATATATTCATAAGAAGCTAGCACATCTTTTATCTATTCTCGAACAAGACTTAAGAGCTCTTTAACACATTAGATGACATGCTCGGTCCTGAATCGTCCTAGTGTATTCACAACGTAACATGTGTCAATGATGAATGTCAGCTAGATATCGGACCCACCATCATAGATAACTTTGACCTGTTATAACTATAATATTTTTTTTTTATAAAAATTAGCAGAACTTTCTATAAAATATGGACTAAACTAAACCAACCTTAAAAGCAATAAATCTTTTCCCAAACGTATAATGTAAAATGGGGAACGCGTGCCCTTCTAAATACATACTAATAAAGTGTAGGCAAATTGATCGTTAATGTTCTTCACAAGGAAAAACCTTCAAATGTAAGAAATTTAATGTTCCTCAATTGACTTTGACTTTGACTAACTGAATTTTTTGCGTTGAATGAATAATTTTGACTTTTGACTAATATAAAATGGATCATAACATTCGATGCCTCAATTCTTCAAATACCAACGTCAAAAAGATTCCTTTAATGAGGAGGAATTTCATGAATACCAACTACGATGCAAAAAGCTCTTATAGCAAATTCATAAGATTGAAGCAATCTAAATGAACAAATGATAAAGATAACTTGCCTCCCAAGTAGAAATAGCCGAAGATTATAGTTGTCAAATCCTTGAAGGATTATAGGGGTAGGGAACGTTCACATCCCATAGAATTTCAAAGATAAATTGAGTTTTAAAGAGAAGGATAACACATTTCGAATGAGAAAAAACTATACATTCAAATACTCGATGTTTCAAGGTTTACAGCAGTGAATATCTAGTTGCCATTTGTTGTGGCATTGATGATTTGATGTGTATTTAATTGATTTTTTTTTTATTACAGCTCGTGTATTTATATATTTTTTTGATTATCAGAAAAGAAAAACAAACCCTCTATTATCAATTCATATAAGAAACCTTCAGATACCTATTACATAAACTTTTGCAACCCAATCACGAAGAACACTTGAATAAGAGAGAAAAGATTCAGACAAATGTGTGGCAATAATTTTATTCAACTTGGCAACATAAAAAATATTTATAATAATATAAACACCTAATAGGCTATAATATCATAAATTTACCATCAATCTTCAACTTGCCAGTCAACCTCTAAACAGATATAAATTTATGTGCATGGAAAGGAATAATGAACACCACGAATTAAACATTATGGGTTCTGACGCACAATCTAAGCTTCCTATAGTTGACTTCAGAGAGGAAAATTTGATTCCAGGCACAAATTCATGGGTATCAACATCCAATTTGGTCCGAGGTGCACTTGAATCATATGGTTGTTTTATAGCAGTTTACGAGAAAATCACTTCGGAACAGCATAATGAAGTGTTCAAATCTGCGAAGGAGTTGTTTGATCTTCCAGTGGAAACAAAAGTGAAAAATAATTCAAATTTTGCTGGCTCTGGATATGGTGGGAACTACCCTATGATGCCGCTCTTGGAATACATGGGAATTGAAAATGGAGCAAATCTTGAAGCTACTAAGAACTTCACGAGCATCATGTGGCCTGATGGAAACGATAGTTTCTGGTAATGTTCAAACAAACAAAGACCTGATAATTTTATGTTATACTCAATATTCAGTTGATACCAAATAGTTTGTTAAGTTTAATATTGGTATGATTATTTCATTAGAGAAACAAAAATATAAATCTTATGACCCTTTTCCTCGGTGTTTGATGTCCTATTTGATCTTGTTGCAGTGCCATTAATACTCTTTTAGCCTTTCATTATATATATATTTTTATTATATAGTGGTACTGCACATTTATACTGCAAGCTGCTATTGGAATTGGATCAAGCAGTGATGCAAATGGTGGTTGACAGTTATGGAGTGCAGAAATATTACAATCCCTTAATTCAATCGTCATTTTACTTGACAAGATTCATGAAATATCGAGTCCCCGAGGAGAATGAGATTAATATTGGACTTATACCTCATACTGACAAGAATTTTTTGACCATAATTGATACAAATCATGTAAGAGGTTTGGAGATAGAAACAAGAGATGGTGAGTGGATTGATTATTATCAGCCATCGCCTTCCACTTACCTAGTCATGGCAGGCGAGCCGATGATGGTGAGCTCTCTCTCTCTCTCTCGTTATGTATACGCACACGCACACGCACACGCACACGCACAAGCAGAGACACACACTCATTAACAATAAGAACTGTACTATCATTTTAAACATAAATATGTTGCTTTGCGAGGCATGGAGCAATGGACGAATTCATGCTGCGCTACATAGGGTTGTCATAAGAGGAGAAGAAGAGAAATATTCTATTGGAAATTTTTCCTTCATCAGTGGTTTGGTGCAAGTACCAGAAGAGCTAGTTGATGGTGAAAACCCATTGAAATTTAAGCCATTTAGTCATCCGGCATTTCTTGAGTACTGCAAAGAAGCGGGACCTACAATGGAAAGTGCCATTAAAACCTTTTGTGGATTTTGAATTACCATTTCCATCCCATATAGAATCTTCACAAATCCATGCCGTCTTGTGTATCTTTTGCATGCTAAGTATAGATATTGCGAGTTTCAACGTTTGGTTAGGCTCATCACTTTCGTTGTTTCTAAATTACCAAATGAAAACTCTCGAGAGTGTAATTTTCTATCAGTTGTTAAAATTGTAAGTGTTATGTGATAGGTCCAATTAACTTTGGAACATAAACTGATGAAGGCAAAATAATAATTCCATTTAATTTCGAGTTTGTTCGTTTTTGACGAATTGTTAGTCTAATTTGAGTGGAAACGGGCCAATGATCACAACTCAGGGCATTTGGCCCTGATGCACGTCAAATTTTGGCAAATTCCATCGCTTAGGCCCTCAATTATGCGTTTTTGCCATTTATGATAATTTTTGTTTTGACAACATCTTAGTCAAATAAACTCGGATTTGATTTCCGTTTGTTGGGGGATGATCCTGATGATTAGGAGAATCAAGATCCGTGATTATCTCAATTTTTTCCATTTTTGGAAAAAATAATATTTTTTATTATTATATAATTTCTTTCCGAATTTTATTAGGGTTTCGCTATTTAAACGTTGTAAGCCCTTTGAGACAACTCAATTTTGAATGAAATAAAGTTTTCTTGAATTTTCTCTTCGTTGAAATTCTTTTTGTGGATTTTTATCTTTCCTATAAGCTTCCCCTGCATCAGTTGGTATCAGAGCCGAGGTCGTTCCTTCACCATGCCGTCAATGAGACGTCAAGAAGCTCGTGAAGCCCTAGTAGAGGAGATACATAGACGTGATAAAATCGCACAGCTGCATCAACAAGTGGAGTTGTGACACAGCAAGTTGCTGCACTTATGCTGCAGCAACATGCGCCTAGAGGTCGTGGTCGTGGTCGTCGTGGGTAGGTTCCGATCGAGGAAGTCCAACACCGTGATCATAATATTCAGAATGTCACGATTGAAGACATTGAAGAAATAACAGAGGAGGAAGAGTTTGATTATGACAGTCTGCCTGTATTTGACAATGAAGACATTGAAGAAGCAACAGAGGAGGAAGAGTTTGATTATGAAGGTCCGCCTGTATTTGACAATGAAGACATTGAAGAAGCAACAGAGGAGGAAGAGTTTGATTATGAGTGTTCGACTATATTTGACAATGAAGACACCGAAGAAGCAATAGAGGAGGAAGAGTTTGATTATTACGGTCCGCCTGTATTTAACAGTGAAGGTGTAGAAGAAGTAGCAGAGAAGGAGGAGTTTGTGGTTGGTGATGTGGGTCAGGCATTGGTGGTGAGGCGGAGTTTTCTGACTTCCCTGGAAAATAACACTGACTGGTTGCGTACTAATCTCTTCCAGTCAACATGTACTATTGGGGAAAAGAAAAGTGTGTTACTTCCAAATAAGGGCTAAGTAAAAACAGTTGGGGATGACGCCAATTTACTGACCAGAGTGAAGTTCGAGACAAATGTGGAAAGATATGGGATAGTGTATGTACTGGTGGAAAAGTCAGTTGACAATGAGCAGGAGGTCGCTCGCAGGATTCAGTTATTACTAGAGGAATTTCATGAGGATTTCTCGGAAGAGCTTCCCAATGGATTACCGCCAGAGCCATCATTTCGTGGTGATAATTCTGATGATGAGGTTTCTACTCTATCAAATTCGAGGGCGAATTTTTCTCAACCCGTGGAAAATGATGAAGGCAAAATAATAATTCCATTTAATTTCGGGTTTGTTCGTTTTTGACGAATTGCTAGTCTAATTTGAGTAGAAACGGGCCAATGATCACAACTCAGGGCCTTTGGCCCTGATGCACGTCAAAATTTGGGTAAATTCCATCGTTTAGACCCTCAATTATGCGTTTTTGCCATTTATGGTAATTTTTGTTTTGACAATATCTTAGTCAAATAAATTCAAATTTGATTTCCGTTTGTTGGGGGATGATCCTGATGATTAGGAGAATCAAGATCCGTGATTATCTCATTTTTTCCATTTTTAGAAAAAATAATATTTTTTATTATTATATAATTTCTTTCCAAATTTTATTAGGATTTCGCTATTTAAACGTTGTAAACCCTTTGAGACAGCTCAGTTTTGAATGAAATAAATTTTTTCTTGAATTTCTCTTGATTGAAATTCTTTTTGTGAGATTTTTGTCTTTCCTATAATCTTCCTCTACATCATAAAAACTTTTACTTCCTCTACATCATAAAAACTTTTAATATGTATTATCAATGCGTTTTTATGGAAATATCTATTATTTGACGTTTTTATTAGATATAGTGCAATTAAGAATAAGCCATGCAAACATTCCAAAATTATTTTGAGGTCATGCACTGATTGCCCCATGCTATGCACTGAATCGTGTCCCATCTAAGTCGGTTGACAAAACTCCATACGAATTATGGAAAGGCCCAATTTATCTCTTATGAAAGTTTGGGATGTGACGCTTATGTGAACCACACTGAATCTGATAAATTTGAGACTAAATCCGATAAACATATATTTGTGGGATATCCAAGAGACAATTCGATATCAATTCTATAATCCCATTGAGAAGCAGATCTTCGTCTCAAGACATGCCATACACCTAGAGAAAGTGTTTATTCTAGGAGAGGATACTGGGAGCAGAATAAATCTTGAAAGAGTTCAAGAATCCACGAATATAGTTGACCAAATAGGTGAACCTGAATTTGATCCCACACCCGCCGAGGGACATACTCTTGATCAGAAAGTAAAGACTTCTGAGGACACGTCAGCTCCGTGTAAATCTTGTATGATCATTCGACCTCTTAGAAGGTACGAATCCATGATTACTAATCAGGCATTACTAATCGTGGATAATGAACCTACTAATTATGCAAAAATAAAGTCAAGTGTTGACTTAAAGAGATGGTTAGTGGTCATGGAAATCCGAGATGGACTTGATGTATATGGACAAGGTTTAGACCTTGATCGATTAGCCTAATGGGATAAAACCCGTACGTTGTAAATAAGGTTACAACAAAATGTCAGCATGGATGGAAACATCCCTATATACAAAGTAAGGCTAGTATCAAAAGGTTATAAATAAAGACAATGAGTTGACTTTGATGAAAACTTTTAGCCTGTAGCCATGCTTCCATTCAGATTTTGCTTGTAATAGCTGCATATTATAATTGAGTTATGGCAAATGGATGTCAAAACTATATTCGTTAACATAAACTTACAATAGAAAGTGTACATGATATTAGAGGCGGAACTCAGGACTATTCGTGATGGGATACTATTGGCTAGAGATCTTGGTTTGTCGATATTTGGGTTGAGACAGATTCGACTGTTGCTATTCACTGCATCACCAGATGTGATGGACCGTAGCCTATCCAAGGGATACTCAGACAAATTGCAGATATCGTTTCATTTGACAGAGATATGGTCTCCCACATTTTCAGATAGGGGAACCAAGTTGCAGATGCACTTGCTACCAAGGGTTGGCATCATCGTAGATACCAGGAATATGGACCAGCCGACCTATCACGACATATCAGGGCGCTTGTTCAGATTGACAGGTATGGTTTGCCTAGCACTAGAGTTTAAGTATTTGTATTTTGCTTTAACTTGTCATTTTATTCTTTACTTTCACTGTTATGGAAGTAATACTTCCTTATTTATTGATTTCATTGATATTATTTATAACCACGGTATTTCTACAAGTGTGAACATATTAATAAAATTTCGGAGGTACCGCCCTCCTTTCACCAAAAAAAAAAAAAAAA